CAAAACACGTGTGCTCTGGTCGGCTGCCCGCTAGGAACTGGCTAATGAACCAATCTAATGTACTACGCCACTGGTGTATAGTATTAACGCCAAATTTTTACTCCCCGCCTCATCCCGCAGAGCTCCAAGTCTACGACTTTACGCATCAAAACAATCGCAATGCTGTTAGATACCGCATGCCGTATCTAGTACTACAAGATCGATGGTTCAATGCGTTTGTTAGAGAATGACAGCTAACAGATATTTAGTATTTAGGTTATGATATGAATGTAGGTTGTGGATTTGACAGTTAGTAATATAATATATATATAATATAATATAAATATTTTATATAAATGGAGCAGACTGAAGGAAAATTTTGCAGGTTTTGCAGTAATACTGTTAGTAATGGAGATTTTACCTTTATAGATGAATCTATGAACGAAATTTTAAAGACAGTTTCACTGAATCTTGTAAGTCATTCATTCAAAATTGAATTAATTTTTAACATAACATTTAAGAGAACTGAACTCACTTTTATGCTAGTACATGTGTCTCAAAATATTGTTAAACTATTCTCAATTAAAAATTTTTCAGGACCTTTGCAACTATGAACACGTCATGTGTTCTTCCTGTTCAATTAACGTGTACTCAGCGTTTGACTTTAAATCCACTTGTCTCTACATCGAAGACAAGATTATTTCTTATCTTAATCCTGAACTGCCATTCATAGACTTAAGAGAAGTTTATTTAAAGGAATATGAGAACAAACCGTCAGTTAAAATGGAAGATGATCAGAAAATATGTCGATTGTGTTTGCAATTAGTTAGGGAAGGATTTGTAACATTTTATGAAGTGAAGTTAGAAACGATGCATAGATACATCCCAGAAGTGGTAAATATCAATTTTAAAGCTTGAAAACTCGTATCTTTATGAACTCTTGTGTCGTAGAATTTTGGTGTTACTCAGGATCCCGTCATTTGTAAAGAATGTTTTAATTCACTCAGCTTTCATGTTGCTTTCATACAAACCTGTTTAGATATTGAAATGAAAATTCCCATCATACTTGACGACAGAATCACAGATTTCCGGCGAATTAAAAGCGAAAATGATGAAATTGTGCTTAGAGATGAAAAGAGGATGAAGGGGTTAGTTAAGATTGAAAAAGAGGTTGAGGCGGAAGAAACGCTGATCAAAATTGAAGAAGTTAATATAAAAAGTGAAGGAAATCATTGGAAAGGGTAAGAAAGTTGATAAAAATTTAGATAGTTTAATGTATTTTTTCAATGTAGTGTAATGATTACACAAACTTTCTTTTAATGAACTGCATGATTCATATAAATACAATTAATTGTGCTGTGTGTGATTTAGTAAATTAAAATTATTTACAAATTTAGAGTAGTCAAACACATATTAAACAATGTAAAAAGTATTTATCTAAATTATTCAAAATCGGACCCTGGGTTAATTTGAATATTTATTAAAAATGTTTTATTATACATTTATCAAATTGAAAAATGTCGTACCTTTTACATTTCGTGCAAGAAAATTTCTGGTTGCATGTTTACCTAATTTATGTTTATTTTATTATAAACAATGTTAATTTTTTCAGTGATTCGCAGTCATTCGACCTACACAATGAAATAATTGAAAACAAAATGGGAGAATGTGAAAACAAAGACCCTTTAGAAATCAAAATGTACAAATGTGATGTATGTAGTTTTGAAGCTAAATACAGGAGCCATCTAAAAGTGCATCAATTATCACACATGGACCGTGCAGAAATCAAAATGTACAAATGTGATGCTTGTGAATATGAGACTAAGTATAAGGGACATCTAAAATCACATCAGTTATTGCACCTTTCGGATATCCAGACGTACAAGTGCGATACTTGTAGTTATGAAACAAAGTTTAAAAGAAATCTAAAAACGCATCAGTTAATGCATAAAGATTCTTCAGAAATCCACATGTACAAATGTGATGCTTGTGCTTTTGAGACTAAACACAAGGGTAATCTAAAAATGCATCAGTTATTGCACAAAGACCCTTCAAAAATCAAAATGTACAAATGTGATACATGTGGTTATGAAAATAAATATAGAAGTCATCTCAAAAGTCATCAAAAGCTAACTCACAAAAATACTTCAGAAATTCAAATGTACAAGTGTGATACTTGTACTTATGAAACTAAATATAAGTATGACATTAAGAGGCATCAGTTAGTACACCAAAACCCGTCGGCAATTCAATTGTACAAGTGTGATACATGTCCTTATGAAACTAAATATAAAGGAAACCTAAAAGATCATCAATTAACACATGAGAATCTTTCCACAGCACAGCAAGAATGTGTTTTGGAGACTATACATAAACAGGGATTAAAAATTCATGTGGTAAAACACCAGAATCTTTTGAGAGGGCAAATGTACAAGTTGTACAAGTGTGATACCTGTGTTTTCCAGACAAAGCATAAACGAAGTCTAGTTAGGCATCAGTCAATGCACAAAACCACTAAGCTCAAATGAGCAGGCAATTGTAAAGACTATTTTTTAAGCCTATAAGATAAAATTTTAAAAAGCTTGAAACAACTTTGGATCCACAACAGTTGTGATGTGAGCGATCGTACAAAGTGTGCAGAATACTTACAATCAGTTGTAATTAGTCGAACGGTGGATTTTATACATCAATGCTGACTTTACAGTGCACAAATACAAAAATGTTTGTTTTATTTGATGTTTTTCTTGAACATAAGATCTATACTATCTTCCAAAACAAAAAATTGAAATTTCACTTAAATTTAAGACAAAAAGCTGTAACAAACTTTTTATATTTTTATTCTACACAAATCTGTAAAATGTAGTTTATTAAAATCATATCATAGGCATATGTATCTGTAACACGAGGCTTAATTATTGTTTTCTCAGCTTAGGTATCAGAGAATTTAAGAAATACCCAAGAACATTTATTTGTATCCTTTTCTCTATGTCGAGAAATAAAGAATAAATAAATCATTAGGTGAGACACAATAAGCACATCTCAAGCAAATCTGAGCAGTATTTTATAATTTATAAAGCAACAAATTATTTGCACTATAAATTTTTTTTGAAGGTTATATCTCAGTATATACAGTGTCCCGGTACTTGATATAAATAGATAAGGTCAAAATAATATCAGTTCTTCATATAAACTTTTTTCATACGCGCCTTCGTTAGCAAGCATCATGCTGATATTAATAGTTTGGTGGTTGTAAATAAAAATAACTTTAATTTTCACATTTGAAGGTGCGTAAATTGTTAACGAAGGCCCGTATGAAAAAAATTTATATGAAGAACAGATATTATTTTGACCTCATCTATTTGTACTCAACTTTTTTTTATCAAGTACAGGGACACCCTGTATTCATGTTGCTAGAAATAAAATAATGATGCAAGGTAGTGTTAATTAACATGGTGTAAATATCGGTGCTATGAATTGCATTATGCAACTCATTAGATTAATTAAATGCTTTTATCTAGTTTTTTCCTAAAACTCACATTTTTATGCCCATTAAATGAACACTATTAAGCCTACGATTGGATGAAGTTGTTGAGCGATATATGTGAATATTTTGTGGAACGATTCACTCCTAAAACTTTGTTCTAGTCTAAATATATAATTGGTCCCCCTTCTTTATCTTTCTGTTTATTAAATGGACTAAGCATTTCGATTTATGAGCAAGTGACATGTAAGTAATAATTCTAAATTTTATTATTTTTTTACGTAGTGAGCATTAATGATTAGTACAAGTTCCGAGCAGATTTCGAATTTTAACTCGTGTTCTTAAAATAATCAATAAACCTTTAAAAGCCATTTTCTGGGCATAAATCCCGCCACAAGTATGAGGCCATGGACAAAAAATCCCAGATATCAACAACTATTGGAAGGCGCAGTACGAAAAAAGAAAATTTCACGCATGTTTTGAAATTTTTCAAAAGGTCCCTCATGAAGTCCCGATTGCCACTGCCGATATCGCACAGAGGCGCGAAAACTTACACAAAACATAAAAATCAAACTACTAAAATACTAAATTAACTAATTTTACTTTAAATTTATATCTGACTACTTACTATAGAACGACAAATTTTAGCCCAAATCACGATATCACCAATATAATTCATATAAAGTGGAAACGATTAATTTTCTTTGATATAAACACTATGAAATGCATTTTGCAATGGTCTACAAAAGCAAATCTTTTAACTTACAAGTTAATATTTTTTACTAACATTATTTTTTACTTTAGAAAAATTCAATTAAGTAAAAACTAAATGTCAGAAACTTGTGAAATCAGTCAAATCCAATTTGATGTGTCGGATGTGTCAAACCAACAATCTCCTTAACTATCAGGTAGGTAGCCATTTAAATGCACGGGGACCTATTACCGTCATTTTAGTACTTACAGGGTCGGAAAGTACCGATGGGCCATCTGCCGTTACGTGAGAGCGATAAAGTAAGTCATAGAAATCCGTGCGATAGAGAAAGATGGCTATAATGAAGGCGTCTAATAGTCACCGCCCATTTCGCCCTTCCACAAATAAGAAGTGGATCTTATTAAATAGCCACTGTACTAAAAGAGAGTTCATTTCCTAATCAGAGTTCTTTTTTTAACCAACATAGCAAGAAATCCGTAATCCGTATCGCTAGCTGCTTTCCATTATCCTGAGACATCTCCGAGAGAAAGTAGGTATTTTTCAGGTACCCCTTTTGAATATTGTGAGCCGAAAGCTAGAGACAAGTATAAACTTCACTTATTAAAGCACAGTGCTACAAATAATAACCAGAACTTCAGAGCATGGGAACAGTTTGAGAGTATAAAACTATTCAATTGAAGGTAAATGTGTTAAGAGGCAATGGAAAACAAACAAGAACAAGTTAAGAGTAAAATGTTCCAGCTTATTGGAAGGCTAAACGCCAGAGATATGGAGTAGGGAGAATGAGCGTCAAGATGCGCAAACTTGTTAATAAAGGAGGTCGCCATTTTGAAGTCTTAGATACGAGGGGGTACTATATTACATTACCAGGTCAGTTCTAAAATTTCAAATTAGAAACGCACATAACTTTACATTAAATTTTGAAATGAAATATGAACTAACAAATACGTACTTTTGAAATTTTCAATTACATATGAATTATTTTTCATAATTTTCTAGGTATATCTGAATATTTATTATATAATAAAAAATTAAATTTTCATATATGCACTTCATAAAAAATATATTAAATACTATATTACTCAAGAACAACGGCTAGAGTTGTATCATAACTGCATAGGATATTATTACCTATCATATGTATAAATCTGCACACACTCCGACATTGTGCTTATCTTTTACATTGAATGATACTTTAATTATGTTATAACTATCTTGTTTCACAGAAGGTTCAACAGAGAATATTAATCACACCAATAATAAT